CATTTCGGATAAGTGTTGAGATGAGCTTGGTTCTGTCTTTAAGGAGAAGATAATTGGTATTGTGATAAGAGTGTTTTCAGGCCCCTGCAGATGTGGAATCACAGGCTGCAAATGGATAACTTGCTCATTAAATTCTAATAGTGTTTTATTGAGTTTTTGTTTTTCTGATTTTATCTTTTATAATGTTCAGATGCATGCTTGTAATGGACTCTTTTCAGCTGCCAAAGAGGCTCTGGAACAATGAGCCTAGAAGCTCAGTGAAGCGCAGCGAGGCTTTGACCTGAATGCTAATGTCAGCATGTTCACAATGACAAAGTTAATATGTCAATGTTTGCTGTGTTCATCATCCTAGTTTACATCACAAATACTTGGTGATGTGGAGGGAAAAAAATCATGCTCTTTAGTTAATATTTAATCTATATGATGAAGACAGCATTTATGAGGAACTCAGGATCTGGCTTTTTATAAGCAGATGAATTACTGTGGCCAAAGTGGCCACATGAATGTGAAAAACAGCTCACACAGCAACGGACCCCAATTTTGCCATTTTTGTTACAAAAACAAAACAGTAACATTTCGAGTGGGTCATCTAACAATCAGAAGGTTGGTGGTTCGAACCATCAGTCCACTATCTTTGATGTGCAGAGTGTGCGTGAATGTTAGGCCAAGTGTTACGCAGAGAAACAAGCACCTGTGTGAATGAGCCGAACCAGAAACCCAGTTAATACACGTGTACGGAAAAGCTTGTCACTGCTATAGTTTCAAAGGAATCATAGCTGATGTTGGATTAAAAATATTGAACTATTGCAGCATGACATTTGTGTTTACATCACTGTGGTGGGGCGCGGTTTGCGGTGCTGCTGCAGGTGCGATTGACCCACCTGAGCGGCATCTGCAATCACGCCTCGCCGGCTTAAAAGTTTAGAGTTTTTGGCGAATGTGGTTGTTGTTATGTTGAGCTGGCAGCGGGAAAGCTGCAGCTCTGTGTGTGTGTGTGTGTGTGTGTGTGTGTGTATGTATGGCAACCGGTAAAATAAAGATGATCAAAATGCCACTGAGTCTGCCGTGTATGTTTACAATCACTATCAGAGAAATATACACTTCTCTTTGTTATATTTGTTACTGCTTCTATGAAGAAGTCATCTTTGAGCTGACTATTAAACTTGAGTTCCTCTATGACCGCTCTCTTCACTTCTTTTTGGACTATGTCGACCACCTGGCAACCTCTAGTTGCAAGGGAAAATCTGAATTTCCTGACCATTAAGTGAGTGGTTGCTGGCTGGCTGATACACGGTGCCACACTGAAAACCACCTTGTGATTACTTTGGTCACTAAAAGATTTCCGCAATCATCTGTCGTTTGCATGGGAGACGGCTGCGTTTCTGGTTTGCATCAAACCTTTTCAGGTTTTACTACCTCGTGGTGGCTACTAGTTAGCAAGTGTTTGCATGCTCATCTTCACGTCTTCTATGCAGACTACAGGGAACTTTTTAGGAACCAAAGCAATCACAAGGAGGTTTTTGGTGCAGCACGCTCTTTGTGACCAATTTCACCCAGCAAACACTCATTGATTGATTAGAAAAAACTATTTAATTACTATATCATTTTTTATGCTTTTTCTTAGCAATTGGAAATTGTTGTGAAGTTGCCAACCAGTCTCTGAACTTGTGTGGCTGAGGCCTAGGCAGCAGTCGTGCAGGATATATGATAAGGACAGGAAGAAGACCTTTTTATACATCTGTAAATAAAAGAGGAGTTTCATTACAGAAGTCTACATAGAAGTGCTTTAAGCTTGCTTTCTATTTTAAATATAGCTGTAGTTGCAAAATATCTTATGTTCATATAGACATCTGCTGGTGAACACTTGATTAGTTTATGGGCTCAGTCACTCATTTTTTGGATCATAATGAATAATATATTTAGTCCACTTTGTAAATTTTGGTTATTCTAAATTTAAGAAATGAGAATTATCCATTCATTGTCACATCTGCCACTCATTACTACATCTGGGAAAAAAAAGTTTATCTTGAGGCTTTAAAATGGGACCTTATAGACCACCACAGTATCTACAAACAGAGGTGATGATGCACACAGATTAGTCATCTGAGATCATACTATTAGTCATATGGTCCTGACACAGAATAAAATAAGTTGGAAACATGTCCAGCTGTCTTTAAGAGAGTTTTAGACCATCTGGGTGATTATATTTTGTAAAATCTAAAACATCTTGGATGGCTTTTTTCGCTTTTGAAGGCCTGGTTGGAGGGTTAAAGGTGGAATTGGTTCTAGGTTAGAGTTTGGGATTTAAATGTGTGGTTAAGAAGATTGGGAATGCATTGATGTAAATAAATATCCTCAAAAAGCCAAATTAACAAGACTCTGTCTGTATGTGTGCAGCACGCTCTACAAACAAAGTGGAGCAGGCAGCAGCCAGTGTAACAAAGAGCAATGTTTAGCCAAAATATGAGCACCGTTTATGCAAATTAACTCAAACTTAACTATGCACTTACTCTAGTCCTTAGCTAAATATCCGCCAGGTTTGAAGCGAATCGGATCAACAGTTTTTGAGCTAGCTGAAGAAAAGCTAAATGTTAGTTAATAAATAAAATCACAGCATGCGTCCTTCCAGTATTTGTTATTGTAATTCATTGAAATGATGTGTATTTCTCAGACACTGGATGAAGAAAGAAAGAAGGTCAGTGGAAACACATCTACATCACTGGATTGTAATGAAGCAGCTCAGTGGAGACAGAGGAGAAGGGGGGAGGAATGTTTTTCTAGCAGCAAATGTTGGTATTAAAATCTGGCAGACGTAAATGCATCGCAGCGTGACATCCGCAGATCACAGAGCGCTGCCAGAGCTGCTTTCCTGTGCCAGCATGACTGTGCTCAGGTTCTCAGAGAGCTCTGGGGAATCTGTGAAGCTGCCACCATCAAACCAGAACTGTGTCAGAGGAGAGCTTGAGTAATAAATTGCTGAGATTATTACAGGGAGTTCCTCCAGAGTGTACATAACAACTTCAGTTTAGTGAGGTTTCTGGGGGAAGAGGAAGTGAGCAGGTCAGACTTGCCCTACTTTACTTGCAAGGCTGTCTTTCATCCTGTATGTCAACCCTTAAAGTGTGTGTCTGTTTCCAAGTGTGCACTAACTTCAGTCTCTATTTGAGAGGCCTGCTCGGTGAACTGTAAACTCCTTTGACAAGACGTTCCCCTCTCTGTATGCAGAGTGCACGACTGTGAATGTTTTATGAATCTTTATTTTAGAGGTTACACTTAATGTCCATGCAGTAACAAGAGGATTTGCAGCTTTTCTCCATTTTATATTGTTATAAAGTGGTTTTGGAGGCTGGTCTGATATTATAGAAAAGGATGTAATTTTGGACTCAGGGATGGAAATTTAACTTTTTTCACAGTTAATCCAAATAATTAATCAACAGTGGAGAGAATAATGGCTGTCAAAGTGGCAGAGAAGTGATTAGCTCCATCGGGTCTTAAGAAACACTGCTGCATACGTTAAAAATGTTAAATGCAGGCTTTAGTGTTTGCAGAGCGAACAAAACGTGACCAAGGTGGCATACAAAGCCTGTAAATAAAAGATGGACATTACGACCATGCCAAGACCGACTGGCCATGGACTCCAAATTGCAAAGCCTCAGTGAAGTATTGTTTTGAGTATTGTGTTTCACAGCCAGAAGATACTATATTTGGAAAAGAGTGTGGAGTGCTAGCATGGGTGCAGTCGTCAGAATACTAAAATTACATTCACCAAAACTCAAGCCCAAGTTTCTTAGACAGGTTATACCTCACTGCAAGCTATTATATTATTTAGATAATTCAATTAGGGATCCTCCGGAAGGCACAAAACATGTGCATGTTTGATTCAGGATGACTGGATGAATCCATCCTGTATCTACAATGGTAAACTATATCTGATGTTTTCTGGCTGTTACTTTTTTGTCATTTAATTCTGATAAGTTAGAGTCCAGTTACAGTGCAGTTAAGGTGGTACCTAAAAATTAAAGCAGCAAAATTATCTTTGTTTTTTCCAGTAAAACCTCTTACTGTCATTTCATTTGGCTGTGAAATCACTGCGGTCAGAGAGCCTCACTGTCTTACATGGTGAGTGTAGCTGTACGTTCTACTTGACAGCAAACTCGATATCCATCCATCGTCTTCCATTGTGAGGCAGGAGGCTAAGCAGCCACACTTTCCACTTCCTACTGGGAGATCCTGAGGTGTTCCCAGGACAGACGAGACATATAATCTCTCCGGCGCATTCTGATTCTACCCTGGGGTTTTCTTCCCAGTTGTGCATGCCCAGAAAACCTCCAAAGGGAGGAATCCTTCCTCTAACCAGATGCACCAACCACCTCAACTGGCTACTTAACATAAAGGAGCGGGGACCTTATTCCGAGTTCCTCACTGTACCCCTAAGACTAAACAGAGCTGGGGGAGTCTCTCACCCCCAACCACGATGGAGCGTTCCACCGTTTCCCATCAGGGAACCAGACCAGGGGGGTAGTTTAAGCCAATTTTTTGCTTGCTGTCCAATTTTTTTGTGCAAAGCAAGGAATAGCCTGGCAACCTTCAAACGATTTCTTTATTTCACCAGCTCTATCTACAACATCCTTAAACTTCCACTGACTCTTTCAGCTCTTGGGTGTCTCAGCACACCCTTCTACACCATATAGTGTTGTTGGTACAGCCATCGTAGGCCTGTAGGTTTGTTTCCAGCCAATGAAATGCCATTAAATTACACAACAATCATTGGCCATAATCGACAAGGGAAACTGTATTCAAGTCGAACACAGAACACAAATAACATAATCACATTACATCACAAAATCCCAACTGTTGCAGCTCAGTCAAAGTGTGGGTTAGGTCATCAGCAGGTTATGGCAAATTAATCTGCTCACTGCAGACCTTTGACAGCTGCCAAGCACCTGCATGCACATCACCACCTCTCCAATTGAGTTTAGACACTCATGCAGCTCACTCACCAAGTCTTTAGATGTACCCAGTCTCTTCAGACCATCCAGGGGCAGGAGGTCAGCAGAGTCCTTGTGTGTGAACTGGGTGGCCTGCTTCAGACGCCTCTGCTGGTGCAGGATGGCTTTATCCCGGATTGCTATCTCTCCTTTTTTCGCCTCGCTCATTGTCTCAGGCTATTAAAACCAGTTCTTTCTGATGCTGTGCACGGGAGCACGGAGACTGTATCCTCACAGCGGCAGCAGAAGAGGAGAAACCCCTCCAAAGAACATAAAGCTCTTGTCCTCTTTAAGGTCCTCAGCAGCAGAATAAACCTCTAAACGTTGCCTCTGTTGCTCTCTCTGAAATGCTGCTGTATAGTCCTGAGCATGTATTTCTCCCAGGAGCTATTGTCCTGCTCCTCTCATGTGCATCTTTCCTCACAGCGTCAAGATCTGCTGAGTCTCTCACAGAGGCTGCGAGGCTGTGTGGAAGGTGTGACAGAGTCTGTGTAAGTGTTTCCTCCCCTCAGAGCTGTCTGTCCTTGTACCGCTCTCTCTCTCTCACATATACATCTCTGCCTTTGGTAGTGCTTCTCTCTCTCTCTCCTCTCAGCCTTCCTCTTTCCCTCACCCCCAAACACTGAGCATATTTTCCCAGCTGACTCTTTGTACATCAGACCTCACCGCTCCCCTGCTAATCTGTAACCACATTCTTAACCATCACAGTAAGCATTTCTCTGCCTCGTCTAGTCTTTTAAACTGGCACAGCCACCCACACGCACAGTCTGTCACTCCTGTGTGTTGCTTCTGAGCCCGACACAGTTTGCAGCATCAGTCCCCTGCTGTGTAGGTGCAAGAGCTCGCTGTGGTCCGACCCCAAACAGGGGATCAATCTGCACCACCAATGGCAACAATTGATTTCCTTCCCGTCTGAATTAAAGAATCCATTTTCTCCTTTCCATCCATCCACACCACCAAAAGCTATAAATATGCCGTTCATCATGACCTCTACGCGATGACACATTTTTATACAGCAGTGGTGATTTGGCCTGGAGGTGTGGAGGGTTTCCTTGAAGTGTAGTATGACTGCTCATTTATCAGTCACAGCGCTTAATGAGTGTATCCTTGCAGATATAATATATATATATATATATATATATATATATGTATATATATATATATATATGTATATATATATGTATATATGTATATATATATAAAGACTGCTTTTTAAAGTGTATAATTTTCATCTGGCAGAGGGAGTCCTTGTGAAGGTGAAGTGGAAAATACTGCCGAGGTATTTGATGTTTGTGTGCTGCCACCTGCTGGTTGAGTTTTTCTGCCCAACGTGCATCTTTTCTATCAGTAAAGAAAGGTTTTGAAACCCCTAAATCATAAAACACGTAAGCCCTTCCACGTTATCTCTGGGTCAATTACAATGGCAATGCAAGACAAGCGCTGAGGCACAACCAGCCATTATTGAAAAGAATCTGTTTTTTTTCCTTTGTACTGTACATGTCCTGTGTTACAGTTGGACAACTTAGCGAAGAACCAATATTAATTTTGTATCTTAAGTCACAGCAGATGAACAGTAACTGAAAGTCATGTCCTTAAGCAAAATGAAAAAATAGATCAAAGACCTGACAATGAAATTAGAGTTGCATCTGACCCTTCAAGTGATTATCTACTGTTCACTGAAGCATCATCAGAAATGGCCTCGGTGGAAGGGTGGCTGCCGGGAGAAATGTCTGAGGTATAATTGGTTCAAATCATCATCACTATGTACAGATGAGGTTAGGAGAGAGGTAACAATGAGTTTTTAGAGCCATCTGTAAAACATTAAGGCTCTGTCATGGTTTGGAGATGCATTTCAGCTGGTGGTGTTGGGGATCTTGTCAAGATTGATGGAATTACACAGAAAAGTACCAACAGTGTTTGCACCACCAAATAAAACCATCGGGAAAGGTTTTGAGTGGTGCTGGCTTCATTTTTCAGCATGACAATGATCTAAAGCACGCTGTCAATACATTTAAAGCATACCTGGAAAGAGAAACACACATTGGAGCACTATCAGTCTTAAACTAGCCTCCCCAGAGCGCGGACCTCAACGTTATAAAGCAGTGTGGGATTACCTAAAGGCAGCCGACATAGGAAGAGTTTTGAATGTCTTTCAAGAAGCCAGGAGATTTATACTGAAAAGCTATTGAAATAATTTAAAAGTTGCCAAGAAAGTTCAGGCTGTGCTGAAGAATATACCAAATATTAACTTTCTAGTTTGTTAGAATTGTAGAAACACTGTTGAATTAATTGAAAAAGCCAAAATAGGTGACTTGTGATAGTAGACATACTAGTAAAGGTGAGCTAAAAATGATCTTTCTGTTGATTTGAGGTTTAATATTTCACAAATGGGTAAACAAATTAATATAAGATGGAAATAATATCACAGAAACCCTTAATTCATGGACCATGAATGAAGCCTCAAATCAGGAGCAAATGCACTTGCAGGCCAGGCATTTGTGCCAACTTTTCCTGGGAAGGAATGGAGCAGGGTGACCCTCAGAGGCAGGACTTTCTCCGGGGTCATGTTCCCGGAAAGTGGAAAAGATATTTTGGTAGGATGTCACATCATAGATTATCAGAGTTAAAAACAGTCAGTCCTTTCTGCTGGTTGAAAATAAGCTACTTTTGGCTGTTCCCTAGTCACAATGGGTCACCACAGCGGGTAGCTCAGCATGTCTGAATTTTATAGCCAGATGAGGGATTTGTGTCTCTGGCTGAAATGGAACCAGTGAATGTGCAAACCACACTCTCCGTTGTTTTTGTGTGTGTGTGTGTGTGTGTGTGTGTGTGTGTGT